GGTCGTAAAAAAAATAAAGCAGATACAAATTCTACATTACTTGCTCTTAAAGAGGATTGTACAAAAACACATGCTGCTGAAAAAACGTACAAGTTAAGGTATGCTTAAATTGAAGAAATATCTTTTCTGAGGAAGTACGGGCTGAGAACTTATGGGTGTTTAATGACAGTACACAAAATTTATTATATGTTCACTTTATCTTCTCTGTGAGTAGTAAATGAAGTTTTAATCTGATTACAAGGCTAAACAACATTCATAAATAAAAACTGAAAATAATTGGTTTGTGACAGAGAGCCTCTGAAGACTATACACTACGCTGAGCCGATTCCAGGTTTTGCAGCAACGCCGAAGACGATCTTCACGAGTCCTCAGGTCCCAGCCTGGACCCTAAGTACAATGAGTGTTCAAGGCAGTGGTAGCTCCGACGAAGAAGAGCCCTTTATCACTCCTCGAGATGCTGAAATTCTTCAACAACAACACGGCAATGTCAAAATTAGCAATATCAAGTTCGTCTGCAGACAACTTCTCCCCTTGAACATCTCGCCTAAAGACATCATGGGAAAATATTACCGAACTCGATCACCAGAAAAGCCAGGAAAAAGTTCTCCAAAGTTGTCTTCTGGTTTATGAAGTGGTAGCCCCGAACGCAAAAGGGGATTTATTTCAGGCGCCATCCAAATCGAGTGCAAGAGCATCAGAAGACGATGTTAGTGAAGAACTATCTGCGCTGATGACGGCATATAGAGATGCACCTTGTAAAAGAGTCAAACTACAGATTTTAAGTCTGTATGCCTACAGATTCCCCACAAAAAGACTTATGAAATATCACGAATCATATGAACCCCTCACGCGCAGGCAAATTAAACAAGCCAGGAACATGCCAAAGAAAAAGGACCTCGAATCCCACAGGAAAAAACTGTCCAACGTCGAATTCGCCTTCCAATGGCAAAGGTCAATCATTTCGTCGATTTTGCCAATAGGCCTTACTTCTATCAAGATGTGGCTTATGGTACTAGAGTAATCAAACTAGAAACGGGAGAGAAACTGGCCATGCCTAACGTCGTGTGCACCGTAACTCGAACTACCATGATAACCCAGTATTTACAGTACTGTGAAGAGGAGGCGTTCTTACCCCTCAGCACCCGAACTCTTTATAAGATTCTTGAGGTAAGGGAGGCATCCCAGAAAAGGTCACTTCAGGGCTTGGACAATAGTCAAACAAGAACGCTAAGGTTAAACAATTAGAAGGCTTTAGCAAATTTCACAACTTCTTTTTCGAGGGTGAAGGCATTTGTGTCTGGCGATGCTATGGCATTGGTAGCGGGAAGTTTTTTCCTTACAAGTCTTTAATTGTGCAACCGCAAAAATCACGGTCGCTCATTACCAAGGAGCCATTTTTCCCCATAAGCGTGTCTCGAGTCCTTAAACCGAGCCTGGCTGCACAGAAACGTTTGCAAGATTTTCAGACTTTGAACTTCATTTAGATGTAGGAGAGCACGTGGTACAAAACGTACCGGCCGATCTGCAACATAATATATATGATAAACTAAAACGAGACTGGGTTGCTATGTTTGCAACAGTGCAAACCGAAGATCATCAACCCCAGCATTGCCAAACTGATTCAACATGTGCTCACAGCGAAAAATCTGTTCCCGGAGCAAACATAGGATGGGCTCTGGCCAAGGCAAGAAGTGGTTCTACTCAGTTTACTGAGAAGGTATAAAATTATCTGACGAAGAAGTTTGTCATAGGAGAGAAAACTGGACAGAAAGCTTCTGCAGAACAGGTAGCAAAAGGACATGCGCAATGCGAGAACTCATGATAATTAAAGGCGTTTTGGAAGGGAAGAATGGCTTACAAAATTGCAAGTCCAAGGATTCTTTTCTCGCTTGCCATCTTCGAGAAGAAAGCAGGGTAAACACTGCAACTTTGAACGCTCCGTACAAGGTCAATATACTTCGGCCGAAAAACGTTTTTCCAGAAACGTATTGTATATCCTTCTAATGTCTGATTCATCACTGTGATTGCTTTCAACAGTGTTGGATTTTGTAGAAATAATTATTTTAAAATCATCTCCAACGCTCCATTCGCTTCTGCAGTTTTTTCGATGTTTATCGAATGATATTGCATTAAGAGGCCTTTTTCTTCATAACTGCGTAGTTTTCTCATTATTTTGTGTTGTGATAGTGAGTTTGAACCGGTGTTTGAAAGGGCACATTTTGGGACAGATTTTGCTGCTATCAGTTTGCGGCTCGATATTTTTGGTTTAAAGCAAACTGAAGCAAAAGAAATAATTTTGAAATAGTACTAGGTAACCTCTGCTTGGAAGATAAAAATCGGCCAATTTTAATTTTTAGCCAGAAATCATCGGTCGCTTCTTAGGCGCAGGGCCTCTTAAATCATGTTGACACGTAAATAATAGTCTTACCGGTGGTTTTTGGAGAAACACCGTACCAAAACGAAATTAAAAGGTACAAAAAAATTCCCATGACGTTTAGTTCAGCAAATCCGATCAAATCACTATAAAGAAGCATAGTAAATAGAATTAAGAGAGATGGTAAGTTTTGAGTGCCATATTACCACATCTAACTTACTGCCACCTTGTATGGAATTTTTGTAAGACGTTTTCCGTCATGTCACGTGCTTGAGACAAAGAAAAAATTATGAGTCCCCGTGAGGTATCGAACTCAGACCTTTGGCAAAATCCGAAGCGGAATCCGAAGGTCTAAAGTTCGATTCCTCATGGGAACTCATAATTTTTTTCTTTGTCCCACGCTTCTGACAAGACAAAAAACATCTTTCTTTAAGAGCATAGTGAGGTATTTCACTTATCCGTGTGTAAATACTTCGATAAATTACAATTACCACTCATCATCGTTAAAGCATAAAGCTATGTTCTACATTTTTAGGGTCTCATAGATATTTTTCTTTCAATATCAAAGGAAAGAAATTAACCGGTTACCGTAAAATAATAGCCCCATTTAGACTCTCTGACATCAACAAACAGGACTGGTGTACTGGTGCCTGTTTCATCATCACTTGTCACCCATTTGTTACGGGTGACAAATGGTTTTATCAAGTGACCTGTGAAGCTTCTAGTAACTATCCAAGCCCTTTTTTTGTCTCGTCTTTTTCCCACATTGCCAAACAGGTGTACTGGTGCCTGTTTAATTATTTTATCAAGTGACCTGTGAGGCTTCTACTAACCTTCCAAGCCGTTGTTTGGTCTCGTTTTTTCCACACGACAAGTGGGTCTTAATGGTTTTACGACTGACGGCTAATGGTTTTATTTACAGAGTAAAGTCGTGCAGCAAAAGTATCTGACTATTGGCTATGACATGCAGGCAGGCCTTGAAGCGTTCGACACCTGCGTCATGAACTCGAGCCAAATAAGTTTTCTTGTTAGTCAGTCAATAATTACATACTATTTTTCTGATGTGTTCCCCTTTTGAAAATAAAGATGATAAATGAGCATGTCCCCGAGGCCATTACAGTTCGAACAGCAATTAAAAGAGCTTAGTTCATCATATTTCCACAGCAAAACCTTTTCATAGCGATTTCAGGGTGTTACATGAATGACAATGACAACTCAGGGTTTAGCTTCACAAAGACCGTTTTTTTTCCTTTTTTTTTGTCTACGCATGATTTTGATGAAATTACATTATGATTTTTTTTATGAATCTACCGATCGTTCCTTAACGAATGATACGATTAGCAACGACACTCGCTATATATTCCACGACCGAAGTGAGAAAAAGATTTTATGGTATCTCCTGGTGAGCAAAGTAAGTAGATTGACTGTCATCCGCTATTTCACGGGGGTTTCCTTTTTTTTTTTTTATTATTTCTCTTCATTAATATTATGACAGGTTTCTAGGAATAACACAATACATTTTAAAAATAGCACGAAATCTCGAAAACCTTAATCTACATGCTTGATAGTTGATTTGGGCGTCACCATTATCAACAATCACGCGAAAGAAATCTCGAAACTGAATGTTATTGTTATATTTATTGTAATATCAACATCTTTGCCTCCTTTGAACATTTTAGGTGAAGTTACATTACTGTTCGTGGGAGATATTTCCTTTGCTGGCCCCATCAAATACTATGTCGACCACAAGTACCATACGTACAATGATACTTTCAATGACATAGGTCCATTCATCAGAGAGGCGGACATTTCAGTGGGTAATTTGGAGTCGCCATTTGCCAACCAACATGTTCTTAATCACCTTCACCGAGGGAGAAAATCAGTTTTGCTATATGCCATTCCTAAAGCTGCATCAGCGCTCAGGTGAAAATCATAACGGAAACTGGTAAAGTTTAAATTTACACAAGGAAGAAATCGTTTTTAAAGAGGCCTCTACTGTCAGAACAAGCTTCCGTTAAACTGCATGGAAAATTTCTTGCGTTACGAAGATTCTAGGAAATATTTGTGAAACAAGAACATATGGGAAAGTAAGAAAATTAGAAAGGAATACAAACAAAGTGATATTTGAATTTCCCGTAACACGGCTGCCACTTTTATCATCAGACGCTGAATAATTCTTTTATGTCCTATAAGGGCACATCATCCAAAATGGCGGCGCGTATAAAATTTCAGCTTAAATAGGACCCGTACCTTTTTTATTTCAACAGAGTTTATCTCCAAAGTTTGTTTTTTATAATTTAAGGACGATTTGTTCTACAGTGGAGTTTTCCTTTAGAGGGTGCAGAATTTTGTAATTTCATTCTACTATGAAAGTGTGGGGTAATGCATTTGAGCTCCTCTATCCGTTCTGAAAATCCTTAACTAGAACGCCTGGTGACACACAGTTATCAACGTGTTGCGCTCATCTTTTGAGCAAACGCTTAATTCTAACATTAACCTTAAATAACAAGACTGTCAAACCTCTATCAATATCTAAAGTTTCAAGTCTCACAGGTGACCGGCTTGGGGTGGGATGATTTAACAATGTGAGAGCTTGTCTTTGAATTTCATTAAGAAGTCTTCAATTGCAAATCTTAAACAAAGACGTTACACAGCCTTTGTTACATTATGAATTTAAAAATAATCTGTTTCGTGGTGACTATGACGTGCGCTGTTCTCGGAAAAGAAGGTACGATTTTTCCTTTTATTTTCTCTAGAAAAAAGATTACAGCAAAAGCAAACTGAATTGGATTATATTGAATACGTGAGCTGAAACTTTATTTCAAACCTTTATTATATACAAAATCGTTGTCTCTGCTTCTAATCTGCTCATATCAGTAATAGTTAAAGGATGAAGTTGTCAAGGTCGAAGGGCACAGTATATAATAGATGAATTGATTGCCCATTGTCGACAATTGTGGCCCAAAGTGCTAAAATGCACTATATTGATCCTTCGACTTAAGCACTTTTTTTAACCAAAACCGAACAAGTTAAGGAGGTGTTCACTTAGCGTAACCGCGAAATGGTTTTTTACCTCCATTTTGCTAATCAACCCACGACTCTTTTGTTCCGCTTGAGAACTCTGTCTGTTTCTAAATTCATTTTTCCCTTTATCTAAGCGTGTGAAGTCTTGTTCTTACCTTTCCCCTCGAATTATTTTAATTCCAAGAAGGATATCACGAAAACTAACTTTATACCTGTAAGTGGATAATGGTTAGAATTGCTCTCATGCTCTCAAACTGCAAACTAATACCCCATTCACACCAGCAAAACATAGAGCTGTAAGAACACCAATATGGAAGATTGTGAAATTAAAATGATTTACGAGCAAAGAACAAAGGGTGGAAAACTTGCCTGTGAGGATGCTGATAAAGGAAAAAAAACCATCGAACACCAATTCAATCAATAACAGTTTCTTCTTATCTTTTAGTGTTGAGTTGTCTTTCGTTATCTCCGCCTTAGATAACTTGAGCCTTAAGCGGAGGGCGTAAATTATTCTGTATTTCACTCTCTCTTCACGATAAAAACATCATGGGACTTTCTCTTAGAATTATAGCACTGCGGAAGAGGTTACCTGTCTAAATGACACTTTCTATGGAGTTACCCGCGATTTTAACCCCATTGTGGCGCATTCTGCTGTCTTGCTAAAATGGAGACTTTGGCGGGTAAAAATATAGTGTAGCCTGCTCGCACGCTCGCGTGGTTATTCATACTATTTCGTTGCCATTATTTCAGTGTTTATTTTCTTAATGCCCCCAAAAGTAATAGTAATAATGATAATAGAGTTTATGTTCCTGGGCATAAATACATGCTTTGGACCCAGTCATAACATATTTATTCCCGCGAACATAAATAAGCTCTATTGTTTTGATTTGATTTGATTTAATGACGTATTTCTATAATTATATGATATATCTAATATATAGCTTTAGCCAAGCCTAAAAGCGGAGCTCTTATTAGTTTATTTTCTAACCCCTCATTATAATAAAAACTGTAATAAAACTCTTCAGCACTGGCTGTAGAAGAGTTTCTTCAAGGGGATTAAGAGACCAGTCCGGGGGGGTGGGAAGGGAAGGGAAGAATTGGCGAGGTCTGGAAACTTGCGATAAAATGCATGTTATTCAGCGGTATCTTCGGGCAGCTGAGGACCTTCGTTGTTGTTCCTGATGTTTTGAGCAAATTTTCGAAGACAGAGAATCTTTTCTTCTTCAGAGGAAGTGTGCGATGTCAGCATCAGTTGAAATTATATTCTTTTGAGCGTGACTGATAATTTTGGTTTGGGAAAATGAGCCATAATTGAAAGAAACGACGGTAAACTACTTCGAGTTTAGACTTCACTAATCGATTGAAGAGTATACACGTGATAGCAGTGAATTAGTAAATCAAGACGCCAGAATCGTATGCGCTTCTCTTATATCTTCTCTTGAAGTTGCCAAGTATCACTTCTTGCCCCACCATTTTTTCCCTAACGTTTCAACCTCCTTTATTTCGCGTAAAAAATAAAAAGAAAAGTCATTTTCAACTCGTATTTGAACCTGTAATTTCTTATAACTTTTCCTCTTTTGGCTATTATTGTTTTATGATTGTCCTCTGGCTGGAAATACACGGCGTCTTTTTAAGATTCTTTATGTTATTTGATTCGGTAACCTCTGCTGTCACTACTTATAATGTAGGTTTCTTTAAGCTAACTTCCCATAATCTTAGCAACTCTAGCTAATGAAGTACAAAATTTGTCCAACATATTTCTTGCGCTGCAAAAGTTTGCTTTAACAAAAGACTAGCTAGAGCTGAAATGTCATGATTAAAACTTGATGACGAAGAGAGACTTAGGATTCGATCACGAAGACATATGTAGAAAACTTGAGATAATACCTGGATTTCATTTTTACATCTCAGGAATCAATTCCAAACATCAATCAAGTTTTCTCTTTAGTTTTAAAGTTGAGTTGATGTTGTTATTGACTATATTAAATGGGTTGAAAAGCTTTTGATGGCATTTTCTCGTGTTTGTAAATAGTTTAATTTACTGGGAGGTAGAGTTACTGCAACATGTTAACATGAAACACAATAAGTTTTTTTGATATGTAAAAAGGTTTCATTTGACTATCTGCTGGCAAGTCGTTGTACTATATTTCAACCCATTTTATTAAAATATATGCATAGGCTGTGCACAAATCTTTAATTTAACTATACTTTTATAGCCAATACCAATCTCTACACATGATGAAATGTCAGTAGGATCAGTGGAAAAATGCACCAAAGGAAAAATGCACCATCTGCATTATTTTAATTACATGAATATTAACTGATACTAGGAGATCTAAGAATTTTCAAAAGAATGTAAATTGTTTTTGAAAAATTAGAACTCAGCATAGGCCAAATAAACAAGATTCTTAGAAAAAGAAATGTGTACTAATGAATAACGCTAAGTAACCTTTTTACCGGTTTTATATGTTGAAAACACACACACATGCATATTTCCTATAAACCTATTGTTCAAGCCTGCCATGACCTCAAACTCTTGATGCACACCTCAAAAGGAGAAAAAATAAATTCCAAGTTTTTATTCATTCAGTTTAGGTTTGTCAGGTACAATTGAGTAAAACAAAGAAATTTTCACAACTAATTTATTAGGTTAGCCTACTTAGAACAATCAACTCCATGTACAAATAAGACTAGGTATGTACCAATGATACACAAAAGAACTATCTGTGGTAAGACGGCAGGCTTCCCTTTCTTCATTTAAAAAAAAATACCGAGGCTATCATCTTTCCACAAGCTCAGCAGAAAGTGAGAGTGAGAGAGACTGATAGCGACTATGTTATTTGAGAAAATATCCAGAGAAGGATGAAAGGCAAGATATGATCTGCACAACTTTCTTATTTTAATTTTATAACCTATTATGCTAAGTCATTTATATTCTTGCTTTGTACATTATGTGGATGCCAATTAATTTAACTTTCATGCAGGTCAAAGTAAAAACATAAATTAAAATAGCAGAGCCCACTTTAATTTCAGTCCTAATTAAAGGGGGATCTTTGCTTTTCCAGTATCCCATCCTTTAAAACTCACATATCTTGTGACCAATTCCTTATATCAATGTTTAGTTTGGATATGAGTATTGGCAAGAAACACCATGCATTAATGAAAGCTTGAGCAAGAATATTTAATGCAATTCAAATAATAAAATTACATGTTACAATGTGGCAACTTACACAGCTAAATTATATAATCACACAATTCCAAACAAAGAAAGTCAGGTAATTGACTAACCTGCTTCAACTTTTGAGGGCTTGAGGTAGAAAGAAATAAATATGGTAGACAGTTACAATTGATACAAAGTTGAAAGTTTAAAAGCTAAGAGATATACACTACAATCATCAAATCCTATGCATTTTAGCAGAAAAGGATCAGTTACCACAATAACTTCTCCCAAACATTCAAACTTACAGGAATCATTAATTTTTGTCACTAGATGGTACTATACTTACAATAGTTCTACTGACACAAATGCATTTTTCTAAAGTTATCTCATAGCTTGTGACTATACAGGTCACGTGGATAGTTCTGCTTGGGGACTGACATTTCAATTACCTCAGCAAACTGTAATCATCAGAATTGCAAGCCAAGGTTTATTTACCAAGTGCTCAGGTTTCAAAAGTAGTGACCTAATTGTTACAGTCAAGTTCACTCCTTTTTGAGGCCATCTTCAGCTTCATCATCCTGTTACATGTGAAAACATCAAATGCTACTCACATATTCAAATGCTTCAAATACTTTTTAATATTCTGCTTCCTTTAACCCTTTAATCCCTGATAGTGACTAGGATCTAATTTCCCCTTTCAATATCACCCCTGAATCAAACATTAAGGTTATGAAAATAAAGGTAATAATAATAAACTGAAGAACCTCTTGACTGTTAAACAAATTCTCCCTGCCAGCACATAAGGAAATTTATTGAGGACAGTAAGGAGGATAAGCATACTAATGTTAGGATGTAAAGGGTTGATAGTGCTCCAAAAATAGTAAATAGTATTGGAGAGAAAGAAAGAAAGTTCTTGAAACATTCTATGTTCTACGTGGATAAACATTCTATATTTTACATGGATAAATTTAATCTCACCCAGTTTGAATGTAGAATCCAAAGTCTAATAAACTTACAAATGAATAGGAAAAAGCCTGATGCGTTTTTCCTGCTTCTGTCATTCTAAATATCACAAATCAATCACGCCACCAGTTCAGTGTGATTTTTTTTAAAGATGTGTACATTTTCTAATGGTCATCTATTTTTAGTATCTATCTTTTACCAGCTAACATCTGAGAAGAATCAAGTCCACATTTGTGATTTGACACATTGTAAGCAAACCCTACAACTGATTAAATTTTATTTGATCAAAAACATGAAGGGCAGTAGAGCACGGTAAATTGGCTGACACAATTCAATTTTCCCTTCTTAAGTATTCTGTGATCGTTTCTTCTACCATAGCGTAAAGTTTACAGTTTCTCTGATTTCATGGTCTTCTGTTGATCTGTTTGCTTTCCTAACAATCTTAACTATTGTTGCCAACAAATGCAAGGAGCATATAAAATATGCACAGTTATTAACGCTTTAATTCCAGAGAGTGACTAGTATCTAATTTCTCCTTTCAATATCATTCCTAAATTAAGCATTAAGGTCATGAGAATAAA